TGATTCCACACAAAAATAAAGCTTTCTACAATATGTCATTCTCCCATGCGAGTTTCAGAAAATTCTTTTTCTTGGGGTGTCACAAGAATTCCACTCCCACAAGCAACAGGTGGGCATGAGGACCTCTCCCCACCAGTAACACATTCCCCACAGGAATCAGAGAGAAAGAATAGGTTTTAAGCATCACTGTGCTTGCAGTGGAGTGAGGAGAACAAGGGCTAACACAGGGTTAGCATTTATAGTATGCCTGGCAGTGTACTGGGGTTTTTGTTGTTGTTATTTCATTTAATCTCCCTTAACCCTCACAATAAACCATCCTAATTTATCAAGGAAAAACAAGGAAATATAGAAAAAGTGGTTAAGCTTTTAATGTGTGTGATACTGAGCTCAGCACTGCAATACAAGCATAACAGCTGGGATTCAGTGTAGCAGTCAGCCAGATCAGAGCAGGCATATTCCAGAACTTGAGTACCTACAATAATGAACCAATCTGCAGGAAACCCTTTAGTCCTTTCCTCCTATTTCTGAATGCTTGATTTCATCTTTTTCATTGCTCCATTCAGATGCTAATCAAAGCCCGAGGGCAGCCGGAAAACACTTTTTCCTAAGCTGATGCTTCTGTAAACTGGGAAGAGTATTCAATACGGATGCCATCTTCCAGTCAACTGTCACAGTCTTTGTCTATTTGCCTTTTTGAAAACAGAAAACCTATTGAGTTTCCGCTAATGCAAACTTAATTTTCTTTCATTTTCCAGGTCATTACAGAAACTGCATGTGGTTCTAGCCAAGCAATCACCCTTATGGCTTTTGGCAAATCTATTTACAAATGATTAGACATAAATAAAACACTGGATTGCATTTTAGTTAATTTTGCTATTTCTGTAGACATTTTACAATCAAACAGTATTGATATGTATAATAAAAGTGTAATATGCTAATTAGACCAGATATCTTACTGGATGACCTTCCAGACGAAGCCAGGGCTACGAGGGAAGCCCGGGTCCCACCATCTTCCTTCTGGTGCCAGCAGCTGGGGGAAGGAAGGCCTACTCTTGCATGAATTTTGTGCATCAGGCCTCTAGTACCTAAACAGTACTGGTATCCAAATGATCAGAAACCACAAAGATTGTACAGATTTACAGAATAACCACAAACTCTTATGCAACACATATTATGTGCCAGACACTGTTTTATTGCCTCTGCATTGTTAACTCATTCAATCCTAGAACTTAGAAAACTCAAAAACTTAAAGATCTTGTAAGTTTGTCCTGGCTGGGTAGCTCAGTTAATTAGAGCAGTGTCCCCATATGCCAAAATTGTGGGTTCAACCCCTAGGCAGGACACATATAGGAGTCCACCATTGAATGCATGGGTGAATGGAGCAAGAAATTGATGTTTCTCTCTCTCCCTCTCCTTTCCTTTCTCTCTCTCTCTCAAATCAATAAATAAATTAGTTTTGAAAAAATGATAGGTAGATAGATAGATAGATAGATAGATAGATAGATAGACATAGATATTTCATGTAAATTCAATCCCCAACTACTACTTAAACATCCTCCATTATATTGTCATGGGAATATACTTTATTGAGAGGAAGAAGTCACATGCTGAAGTTCAGGAGAGCTTGGTCTACCATATTCATCAGGTAATTAATTAGGTAATATTTGTATGGCACTTTCAGATGTCATTTCCTTTGATACTTACAATGACCTTATGTATATTTGCAGCTCCCAAGTCTTCATCTCTATCCTAATCTCCTTCCTAGTCCTATAGTCATCTCAAAGTCAATATGCCCAATTCTAATCATACTGTCTTTTTAACATACCTTTGCTTTTCTCACACCAATCCCTAGTTCTATTAGTGAAAAATCCCAGTCATCCTAGACTCCTTCTCTCTCACTCATCTCACATCTAATCCATTATCAAGAGCTGTTCATTTGGTCTGGGTAAAATCTCTTAAACTGATACCATTAATAACCTGGTTATTATTAATAGGAAAAGAGTAAAGAGAAGACTCGATAATATAGGTATGCCATTTATACTACAGTTTAATACTTTCCAAGTATTCCCTGCAGATGGATGGGGAAATGGACTGGACAAAGGCAGTTTACCATAGATGTATGCCCAGTAAGGTTTGGGTGATGTGGGAAGATGCTTACTTGTCAGTCACACCTGGGAGCAATTCAGTGGCTAGAATAGGCATGGCTACTGCAAGGGTGTGAAATCTGAAATACTTAACTCCTGAACAAAGCATCTCTGTCTGTCTCTCTCTCTACCTCTAGCTCTCTCTCTACTCGCGCTTGACTCCCGGTTTGCGAGTCAGGCTTGCAGGCCTCGCATGCTCTGTACTTGCCAACGTGGCCCAAAGCCATGTGATGACCCACACAATGAACTAATGGACTGAATCTAGCCTGATGCTACATCAGACTCAACTACACCATGGAATAGAAATTCTGGACACCGGCCTTGCTTTTAGCTCCACTGAACCCCCAGCTGCATATTTTCCAGGACTGGTTTAAGGCCATGAGACTTTGCAAACTGATAAGTATAATTCCAGGCAAATAAAAAACATTCATTCTCCTGTGTGAGTCTTAGAAAATTCCTTTCCTGAAGATATCACAAGAACCCCACTCCCACTAGTGATGGAGGAATTCTACCCACCAACCCTCTGGCAGCAAAACCATCTTCTCCATTCTAACTGTTCCTGCCACGGTTCAAGTCCATGTCTTTTCTCACCTGGTCAAAAGCAACAGTCTTTTCACTGTTCTCACTACCTCCAGTCTGCCCATCTTCCTGGCCTCTACCTTCCACCACTTTAAACTCTTTCCACACACATGTCTTTTAAAAACATCAGTGTAAAAATGCTAATTTTTCTATTTAAAATCTCTTAATAGCCCCCCATCACCTTCAAAGCTAGGCTGCCTAGTTTCTACCCTCAAACACTCTGGCTCTCTTCCTCTCTGTTGCTTTAGGGATGGTCTGTCCTCGGCCTGAAATGTCCACCTTCAACCCACCCATCCTACCCACTCCCTTCTTGACCAGCACCATTTCCTTTAGGAGGTCAGTCCTGATAATAAACACATAAGGGTAAATCTTTATAACTTCAGACTTGGCAATGGATTCTTAGATATGATACCAAAAAGCACAAGCAACAAAAGAAAAATATAAATAAATTGGACTTGATCAAAATTGAAAACTTTTGCACATCAAAGGACATTATAAAGATGGTAAGGAGAAAGCCTACAGAATGGGATAAAATATTTGTAAACCATATATCAGAAAAAGGTCTCATATCCAGGATATATTAAAAACACAACTCAATAATAAACAAATAAATCAATTTAAAAATAAGAAAAGAATCTGAATAGATATTTTCCAAAGAAGAAATACAAATGGTCAATAGCACATGAAAGGATGCTCAACATCCTTGGTCATTGGGGGAACCCAAATTAAGACCACAAACATATACCATTACATATCAAAAAGCATGGGCTATAATAATAAAAACTAATATTACCAAC